TCTCTTACCCTCTTCTCAAATTACCAGGTGAGGAATATACTTTTTAAAGTGAGACCTACTCTCCTGGCTGTACCCCACATATACAGATATAACATAAGTATTTTTTAAGATAGTGCCTGAACAAGTTGATCAGAGATTCCTGATTTATTAGTGAGTGTGGATTTGAATTTCCCAATAGTTGAGACTATTGAGGTACTTATTTACTTAAAGAGTTTAAAAGACCCTATTCACCAGTACATGAATGTCTTGGAAATGCTGTTTCTCTTCTCAAGGAGTGTACCCACTCCATGTGGACTTGTCCAGACATTCTTTGCCTGTCTGGGCAAGAACAGAGTCCAGTGAGGGAATAAGGGCCCTGGAGTGCACAGCACTAGCATGTGTGTGGTCAGGCAGGAGCTTTGTTCCTTTCTCAAGAAAACTTCAGGCCCATCAAGCTTGGAAGAACATATATTTTTTATGCTAATCTGAAACCCACATCAGCTGATGAAATGTACTAGGACTTTGAGGACCCAGAATATGGTAAGTTTTGGTCAGGTACAAAGGGCCAGCTGAACATAGAATGTTTCCTTCTCAGTGTCAGGGATGCTCTTGAAAATCCAATAAGTCTTCAAAGATGTAGGAAAAACTCTTCCTTAGGAAGAATTTATTGGTCCATTTGACTGCACAGCCACATCACAATATGCTTTCAGTAATGAAAAAATACAGTGAATGGAGAGAAGAGGTTTGGGGTTAGTGAAAAGGTTTCCTCAAAGTTACTGTACATCCAGATCGTCTCTTTTCTAAGCAGCCTTTTCCCCTTACATTTTTCAGCATCATCAGTATGTTTGTTTGTTTGGGACGGGGTTGGTTTTTGTGGTGAAGGAACACGCAGCATTTATTATAAGGCACCTTACAAGGAGTCTGGGGCAACTAGTGCTGAACATGCCCAAACTCCCATCAGTATCTCTTTGTATCTTCTTCACTGACCCCATCAAGATGATTCCAGTTTTGTTTTTGTTTTTGTTTTTGTTTTTTGCATTGACTTCTCCCATTTCCTTTCTATACCCATCCTTGCCCTCTGTTTAAAGCTTCCATGTCTCAGTGATGCTGCTGATTTTATTCTTTTTTTTTAATGACGGTACTGGGGATTAAACCAGTACCTCATGCATGCTACACACACACTCCACCTCTGAGCTGCACCCTCCCCCCACAACCCCCCTGACTATTCTTGTGTCTCCATTCTGGCTTCCTCTTTGGACCCTTGTCCTGATCTAGGCACACTATCCTGGGCAGCCTTGAATTCAGTAGCTGTTATGTGGCTCAGGCTATTTTTCACTTGGGTGATCACTGATACTTGCTTAATGAATTTGAAATCAAATTGTTAAATATGAGGAGTAAGAATATCTGGCTTCATCCTTTTTTCCAATATTTGGAATATGAAAGCACATTACATTGTGCTTTATGTAAAAAAATGTTTTCTCTTGCTGTTCTGTTCTTTAGTGGTTGTAAATGTAGTTCTTGAATGGTTTTTTTACAAATTTCCATATCCATTAAGTTGATTTAGCAGACATGTAAGTCAAATTTTTCTTATTCCTTCTATCACATATTTTAGAGGAAAACCTGGTAAATACTTTTATGATGCTTTATTTTGGGCTTTCCAAACTGAACAGTTCTATATAGCTATAAATGGTATAGCAGTCAAGTTCTTTTTTCTCTTCTGATTGCCTTGTTAAATGCGTTGCTACTGGTTTGATAACCCACGAATGCCACGGGGGAGCTAAACAAAGTGTGAGATGGAGCTTGTCTTGGTTTGAAGTTGTTAGGAAGTGTGAGTCTGTCTCTGGGAAGAAGAGGTGGTTTCCTGCCTGCGGGCAGCATATCCTTGGGTGACTGCTGTTTAGAGGGGAGGAACACTTGCAGATTGTGGTTGACCCTGGGCCATTTAATGTTGATTGTGCTGAAAGTCAGACTACTCATGACAGTTGCCACCAGTGAGAGAGGAGGGGTTTTAAAGGAAATTGGTCTGCTCTGCCATTTTCCTCCTGTGTGCATGATTTAAGGTTAGGTTTCTATCCCCGTCGTGCATCCTGGCTGACAGGCTCTTTCGGTGGTATGCTTTGAGTTTCCAGAAAATTTTATAAAAAGTTTCCCTTCTCTGTCAGCCCACCAGCTCTAGGATCTTTAACCACCTCAAACCCAGGCAGTGTGAATTAGTTGAGAGTTGTTTGAGAAGATGTATAGAATAGATCATGAGGCAGAACCCTCCCCTTACAGTTGTCTTGGACCAAAGAATCCTAAAGCAGTAGGAGGAGGATGGGAATTAAGAGTCTCAGCCTCTCCTCCTCTTTATTTCTGTCATAAAGTTTAATTATAAGATTGGAAGATACAGAGAGCTTATAAGACCATGTCGATAGGGTATAATTAACCTAGGTAATTTGGGAATAAAATTTGGCTTGTATTTGCTATATCCAGATGCCCTCACTTAACATCTTGGCTCTCCAGCAAAGAACATGCTGCTCTAACCTTGCCCTCTCACTTGAGACAAACTTCCTACCTTCCAGAAACTACCATGAGGCAAGTGAGTTTTCTCCATGAAGGGCTTCTGCAGCTCCCCACTCCAAAGCAAGTCTGTTCTGTCCATTTTTATTCTTAGGAACATCAGTTCTGCATCTCTGAAGCCTTTGATCCTTAGGGAAGTCCATAAGAACCTCTCAGCTGAGTCTGAGTGAATCTTGGGAGCCCAAGGGGGTTACATTTAATTTTCGGCAGGAAAAAAAATTGTTGGACAAGCTCACATGTGGGATATTAAGAGAAATTCCATAATGCACTTCTTCCATCTCTGCCTCGTGTTTCTTGCTTAAGCTCTTGGTAGAGGTTGGTTTGCAGGTGTTGAGACTCCGCTTCTTCAGCCAGGGTAGTTCATTGCCCTTTTAGGAAAAAGAACCATGAGCAACCAAAACTGTATCAATTGGCCCTTTTTATTTTCCACGTTTTTCAAGTGTCTTGTTTGGAAGAATCAGGGTGGGAAAATGCTAGATGAGATTCAAAGTAAAGGAGAGACTCAGTTCTGGAACTGGGCTGCTTTGCTTCAGGTACAGGCATCTGTCCTGAATATGTAGAAACAGCTGCCTCACATGTGAATAGATTTACTTTCCTCTCCATCTAATGAACTCCATGCCCTTCTTATTGGCAAGGAGGGCTTCTGTTTTCCACACACCTAACCACACACCCAACCGGTGTCATCCAGATGGGGATTGGCACCACTGAAAATACCGCCAGTGCTTTCCAGTGGCTTCTAGGTGTGGTTTTCACTGGGGCAAGAGCAGGTAGGCAGTAAGTGAGAATTCCCACCTGAAGAAGAGATGGGAGAAGAGCGGTGCCCAGACACATACCTGTTCTGTTTTGCCATACCCCAAGAGCCCAGGGGAATCTTTGAAGTGACTTTTTAAAATCAAAGTAGAAGAAAACTTTGCCCCACTAAGTTTTGGCTTGTCGTTGTCTCCTATACTTCTGATTCTTATTAATTCAGATCTGTACCACACTGCTGCTCATACACATGTATGTGTTTCTTACCTTAGCCTAACCCTTCTCAGCCCCTAAAGTCATTATTCTGTTTTGTTTTTTCTTTCTTTTTTTTTTTTTTTACAGCACTAGCGAATGAGAACCTAAGGTCTTAGAAAAAATCCTAACTTGAAAAGGAGTCTCTAACTGGCATGGTTTGATTTATCACTTTACCTTTTCCCCCTAAAGACTTGAATGATTTTCTTTCCCAGTGCTACATAATAGACCTGTAATAAGTGAAACCTTTGCTGCTACTTTTCTGGGTTTACATTAGTTTTTTCCTTCCCTTAAGAATAATTTCTTATCTGTGCTTCTCTGATGACTGTTAATTTCTAGTAAGTGCAAGAAGAGGTGAGCCTGAGATTTCTTCTCTTACTCCCCTCCTCACCCCTGCCCCCAAATTACACACTAACCTCTGACATATACAAGATCCACAGGATGGGGCTCATCAGAAGATGCTTGTGTTTTTTCTCACCATGCTGTAGCGCTCGGAGCTGGCCCCCGAGGATCTGTGACTGCCCAGTTACTACAGGGGGAGAAAGGCCTTCTTAATTTTGCCTTTCTCCATTCCCCTTTTATGATCAACCTTCGTATGCCTCCCATTCTGGCTGCCTCCTTTTTCCTCCCAGGAATTGTTTCCAAGTACCCTGCTTTGGTCACTTCCTAACTGCTCCCCTCACCTTTGCCCACCTTCCAGTGACCCTGAGAGCACAGACCTGAGAAACGGGGCCTGTGCAGAGCTCAGAGAACTGTGAGGACTACCCCTGCCTGTCAGATTCTGCTTGGGGACAGAGACGGGTGGGTAAATGGTGCTGTGGGAGAAATTTTTATCTTCAAACCAGGCTGTTTCGCCCTTGCACTGCCCTGCCTCTGTCCCTACTCCCCTGAGGGGGTAAAATGCAGAGGGATGGTTGACTGGCTGGATCTGATCCCAAACATTGCTGTCTGGCCTAAGCCTTTTCCAGCCATTTGGCCTGCCCTGGAGTGAGAGCTTCAGTGTGTGGGAGCTGCTGCTTGCTTATTTCTCCACCAGGCCTGCCCCAGCACTTAGCCAGTCCCTGGGGCCAACACAGTTTTCTACATGGTGACCTAACACCAGCTTCCATTAGCTGTCCAAGTGACTGTGTTTCCACCCAGTACTTTTGGCGCTTGAGGATGGGGTGGGGGGAGGGAGGGTTATTTAAAATAAATAAAATCCAAGGTGGCAGTAGAGGATTCCTTTTGCTTTAAAATCTTTGGACTAAAAAAAAAAATGTTTTTATATATAAATATATAAAGTAAATTGTTATGTAACTATTATTGTTTCCTGTATGTTCTAATTTTTGGTTTATGATGTAATTAAAGGAAATAAGCTGTGAAGACTTCTCATTTTGCTGTGGAAATAGCCTGACTTGGAGCTGTGATTCTTAACTTCCTTGAACCCTTGAACTGTAAAAGGCTCCTGAGGCTGAAGGGGCTTCTTTTTTTGCATCCTTATTTTTTTTCTTATTCTTTAATTAATGCCCTTTATTTCTTATTTAGTATCTTTACTTAGTACCTTTTCAATAGCCTTTACTTAACCTGAACTCCACTTGTCTCTAAGAAAAGCGGAAGGCATAATATAAATCAAGAGTTCCTAAAAACCTTTGTCTTAATTACTTTGATAGTAACAGTTCAACCTGAGTCCCTTACCTGTGCAGAGCATTGCCCTTGCCTTGCCTGGACTGGGAAGGAGAGGGAGTAGTGTCATAATTAAAAGCTCCATCTGTCTCAGTTATTCACTGGTAAAGTCGGGGTAATGTACCTGCTTTAGAATCCTGAAGATTTAAGTGATAATAGTGGCACATCATAAACACTCATATGTTACCTGCTTTTATTCCCTGTTTCAACAAATATTTCTGTATCTAGTCTGTGCCAGAGGCTCCTCCGTTAAGAGATACACAGAGGCTAATGCAACAGGGTCCCTCTCCTTTTGGTGGAGATAAGCAGTGGAGCCAAATCAGCAACGTAGATTTAAATCTCAGGGTATCCAAGGGAGGAGTGGTGGAGTGCATGCATGAGGTCCTGGGTTCAAAAGGTTTTTTCAACTTAAGTAAATAAATAATCCCCTCCTCCCCCACACAGTGGGGAGAAAATCTCAGTATATCTTCCCTGCCCTGCAACACCCTTAGGGAGCCCCGTGAAATCATAGGCCCCACTTGAAATCCACTTATCTTGCATGAGGTAAAGACCTGGTCGGGATTGGTCATCTGGGGCCCCATGGTCCATTCCAGGTGCCTGCTGTCTTGTCTGTATTGAAGCAGCCTGGGCTTTGAGGGAGGCAAGTTCTGGGTCTTTGAACTTCTATAATCAGCCTTTCTGTTCTCCTGTTCTTTAGTTCTGTTCACCAGTTCTGCCAATGTTTAGGGCATTCCTCCCTCCTGCCCTCCCTAACCAGAGGCCACCTGATTTAAGACTCATCAGACATGGTCAGTAAATGATAAATGAGGTTAATTATCAATGAAGGCACCTTGGCCTGTTTTCCACTCCATGCAAATGATTTGGTCTTCTATTTTCAGTATGTTTGAAATTTTTCATAATAAAATTTTCAGAGAAGGGGGTGAAATGTATAAGAATAAAATACAGCCCAGTATCACTTGTCTTTTTAAAAAAGCACTTAATATAAAATTGGATTTCTGCATGGAAAAAAAAGATACACCAAAAAAAATCAGTTTCAGGTAGATTATAGGCCTAAAAATGAAACAGTATTAAAAATTTAAACTTTGAAAAATATGCATAGGAAATTATGACCTTAATATAGGGAAAGAAACAAAGTTAAAAGATTGATTTTAATTCAACTACATTTAGAATATAAATAAAGCCCTGTAGCCTCACTGTTCAAGAACAGCTGTAGTAATTCCCAAATCTCCAGAACTGAAGAATGTAATAGTTGAATAATCTTTTGGAGGATTTAGTGATTAAATTTTTGCCCAAACTAACAAAAAGAAAAGTCAGATTACATCTCCTTTTAAATTAATGTTTAATTTAAAAGTGGGTGAATAAAATTTTAAATAAACATGAATTAACACATTCTGCTTCAGCAGCAGAGCTTGGGGCAAAAGCCCCTTATCCACATTACTGGGTTTTTTGTCTCACAGGCTTGGCCAGCTCAGCTCAGTTTGGGAGGTGAGACCCTTGTGTCCCCAGGGTTCCAACAACTGTTGCTTCTGAGCAGAAAGAAATGTGAGCCTAGGGGCTGCTTGTCTCCTCCCAGGGGTAGGATACACGATCTGGCACTTCACCTGGAGCCTGGTGAAGCAGCCGAAGATTTGAACAGGGCTTCTAGTGAGCAAGGACCCCAGAGAACCAGGCTGGCACCAGTCTTCTCTTGCAGTGGGGCATCCCTGGGCCTAGGTCAGAACCAGGTAGTACCCATCTGGATTCTGCACTGAAAGCAGTTAAAAAAAAAAAGTGGGGGGCACCACTGGGATGATGTGGGAACCCAACGACCATGACTATGCTGCTCCCAAACCTCCAAACAGCTTGTAGTGCATCTGCCACATCCAAGTGGTCTTCTGCCCCACCGTGAATCTAGCTCTTTAGGAAGCCTCCCTGGGTACCGCAGCAAAGGGGAGGGACAGAGGGCAGGCATCTGAATAACCAGGCCACAAGCCAACTGATCAGAAGTGCTCTGCTCCAGGTGGTGTCTAACAAGCACCTGCCCTTACAATAGTGGGGAGGGGAGAGCAGAGTCCTTACCTCTCCTGCTAATAAAACTCCCTGATGTAGAAACTAGGGTATTTTTCCCTCATGAGAATGCATTTACTCAGTTGCATTTTCCCTAAGCAGTAAATAGCTGTCTTTTATGAATCTATCCCCTCTGACACAAAGCTAGCATTCAGAAGATACTTACCCCTTGATTGGGACAAAGCATCCACACACACACCTTCATGGAATCTTTCAATCTCATTTAGGAGCCAATATAAACAATCTTATCCTTTCTAGGGCTTGCCGGACACACCTCTCCCTCTAAAACCCCTACCTTTCTTCACCACAGCCACAAAGTATGATTCATCCTTAAGATTCTGAATGACCTGCAAGGGATAAAGCGTTACTAAGACAATTCTGTTCTTTGAGCCAAACAGAATAAGCTAGGGCAGGGAGGAGGAGACTGGGCCTGAGGTGGAAGAGTGATCCAGGCCTTTGTGGGGCCTTTTACCTGATCACTGAGGAGAATGAGGATGCCCCCAGGGCCCTGGTGGAAGAGACGGTGGATCTGATTGGCTGGGAGGGCCAGGAACTCAGCCAATTTTCCCATGAGTTCTACAGCACTGAGTTCATCCAGAGAGATCTCTTGATAAAAGCCTGGGGATGTGGGCAGCACAGGGGCAGGGGTCAGTGGTTGGTGGGGTTCAGATCCCTCTGAACCAGAACCAGAAGGAGAGGGCAAGATGGCAGCCTCATGGGGAGGATGGGGGTGTGGAGAGAAGGAGTAAAGAAAGAGAAAGGCTTATAAATCCACTTCATTTTCAACTCCTATTCCTCACATTTGGGGAGGCCTCAGGCTGAGGGGAACCCACAGTTTAACAAGGAGATGGGACACCATATGAATGATTGAAACCCAAGTTCAATGGCAGGATAATAGTATTTTCATCCCATGTACTAAAACTAATGACAAAATCAGATGGGGTGGGAGTGTGGAACATGGAAAAGTAAGCCCAGGGAGACATCATGGAAGGAGAGGACTAATATACTCATGGTAGATGGGAATGCCAAGAGCATCCTGGGTTCCAGGAATGGTGGAGCATCGCCCTTCCCCAGGCTGGAAGAGGTTTCATGCAGCCCCACCTGAGTTTCTTGTCTTCTGGAGAGGCCAGAACCTCACCTGAGTCAGGGTTCTTAGGAACCTCGTTCTCTTGCCTAGAGACCTCCCGAGCAACATACAAGGTCAGCCGGTGACGGATGGGCCTGGGCCAGGAAAATAGTCTACATTCATACTTGAACTGACGGGTCCCAGTTTTAGCTCCCGTCCCTCAGGGAGAGACCCTGCCTTCTCCCAGGTTTCTAGGGGGAGAGGCCACCCAGCATTTTCTGAGGCATTTAATGAACGCTGGACCCTGGGAGGAGAGAAGATAAGAAAATTCGATCTCCATTCCTAGAAACTGAGTGATACACAACTGCCAGCTGAGTTGGTAAGTGCCACTGCAGTAGGAAGGGGACCCTGGTTGGCAGTGCCCAGCACCTGGCTCTAAGAGTGTTGAAAAGGCGGATCCCATCAGCAGCCCCACAGATCTGGATAAGGTCCTGGCGGGTAAGCTTCAGCAGATCAGTGCCTGCAGAGTGAGACAGGGCCAGATTAAATGAAGAGGTCTGGGGTAAAGGGCGGCAAGGGATACAGTACAACATCTACAAATAGCCCTAGTATGGCCAAACATCGGAGTCAGACTTGGACTCAAATCCCACCACTGCCACTTGCCAGCTCTGTGTCCTTGGGCAAGTTATTTAACCTCTCTGAAAACCTAGCAAGCGTAGTGCTTGCCAACTCACAGTTCTAAATAAAAGTTGAAGGGCACACAACAAACCAGGACAGAGACAGGCTTCCTGCCTAAATGTCCTGCCCTCAGTCCCCTACAGTCCCTACCAGACCCCAGCCTCACCAGTGAAATTGGCCAGCATCCGGCAATAGTTGGAGAACCGGTGCAGATGCAACCATTGCTGCGTCTCTAGGATGGAAGCTCCAGGGTTCAGATCCTGAGGCACAAAGAGAGCAGTTCAAGGAACACTGTAGACCCACGGACTAAGAACAAGGCAGAAGGGAAACAGCCCCTACCCTTGGGGATCCCAAGTGATAGGGAGGCCCATCCTGCCCTGGGAAGTGCCATTTTGTGCTCTGTGGCCATGCCACGTCTGTCCACCAGGGGGCAGGGCCACTCTATTCTGGAAAGAGATGAAACTGCTGAGAAGGCTGGAACACTCGTTAGGGGTTGCAGACTCACCCGAGCTGGGCTGCCCCTCGAGGTGTCCACGGTGAATGGTGGTGAGGAGCAGAGCCTATGGGGAACAGAAGAGTCAGGCTCAGTGGAGCAGTGCAGCCAGCCTCCTGCCCCCAGCCCTTCCCCGTTGTCACCCACAGATACCCCAGGAGCTGCCTCAGCTCCACCCTCAGAACTGCCCCTCCCTCAGTGCCTGGGCTGAGGAGCTCTCCTCTTCACTCTCACCCCAAAGGGGTGAGATCCTGCCTTACCTTTCCGGGGACAGGAGCTTGCAGGAGTGTGGGGAGGTCAAAGCAAGAGGGCTCAGAGGCGGGTGGGGCCCCAAACTGGGCTCTGGCCATGGTGTACACTGTGGGCAAACAAACAGCAAGGTTAGCCTAGACATTCTGGGGGCAGTGGTGGCTCTTGGTTCACCTTCCTCCATCTATTAGGAGCTGACAAGGGGCCTCCTTGGGCCAAACTTGGTCCCCGACAATTAGACCGAATTTCCACACAAAGAAGAAAGTGAACTAGCCAGCAGGTCTACAAGGGGAGTGGGAAAGGCTTCCTGGAGGAGCTACAGCAGGAAGGGAGATGCTCCAGGCAGAGGGAGCAGAAGTGAGGTGGCCTGGAAAGAGTCAGCTCCTGGAAGTCTTGAGCAACAGACTATGCAATTTGTGCTTGCAGGAAACAGGTGGAATCACGGGGTTGGGGTGGGAGTGGGGGCCTGTGATGATCCTAGGGTAGTCACAGCTCCTGAGGACCAGTTTACCCATTTGTACTATGAGGGTCTCTTCTCCAGACCTTCCCGTCTGTGCACCGCCTCCCACCCCGTCACCCACCCTGTCACCCAGCACACACACACCTCCATGAAGACTGTGCTCTCACAGGCAGTCTGATACTTGTCTCTCTCATGCAAGGGCTGTTTCTCAATCTTCTCCCGGTCAGTTTTCAGTTTCCGGTCAGCTCCTTTAGGCTGCAGGAGAGTGACAAGGAAACCTTAGAAGCCCCCTCTTTACGTTACAGGAGGGGGCTCTAGGAAAGAGATCCATCCCTCTGTGTACAGAGAAGGAAATAGTCCCAGAGACGGGACCGCACGCTGAGGGTCCACAGCAAAGCAGAGCAAGATCCACACAGCCAGCAAGGCAGGGTGAGAGCCCTGAGAGGGAGCGAAATGGGCCTCTCGTGCGGCCTGTACCTTAAACACCTTGATGAGGCAGCCAGCCGAATGCAGGTGCTCGGGCGGAAGTTCCTTGTCACTGGGCTTGAAAGTGTCGATCTGGAGGCGGAAGGGGACACCTTTCTCTCCACCTTTTTTCCGAGGAGTGAACTCAGTGCTGATGCAGTGAACCTGAGATGGAAAAGTAGGATGGCTCCAGGTCCCATCCACATGCAAGGGATTTCACCTGAAACTGGTTACCTGCCTGTCACCTGTCAGCCGCTAATCGCGGCAACTTTCCATTCCTCAACCAGTGTCTATTCTTAAAGTGTAATTTTATTGGGTTCTTTCCCTTATTCAAAATCCTCTAGTGCTCCCCAAGGTTACGGGATGAGAAGCAAAGTTCAAGCACCTTCAAGAGCCAAGTCAAGCCTTTCTGCACGGCTGTTCTCTCTGTCCCATCAGTGAACCCACTGAACCACCCAGCCAGCCTAATCATGGCCCCCAATACACCTTCATGGCTTTCCCTAGCGCCCTCTGCTGGGAAAGCTCTCCCTGTTCACACCTGAGCCAATACAGCCCATTCTAGGATAGGGTTGCCAGTTAAAATGCAGGATGCCCAGTTAAATCTAAATTTCTGATAAGCAACAAATAATTTTTTAGTCTAAGTATGTCCCAAGTATCACATGGAAGATACACTAAAAAATCCTTTATCTAAAATTCAAATTTAACTGAGTGTCCTGTATTTCATTTGCTAATATCTAGCAGTCTGTTCCAAGAAGCCTTGCTGACTGGCACGCCCACTATACCCCACCCCACCACCACAATCATAAGAGGAACAGCTAAAGGTCCAAACTTCAAGGGAGAGAAACCAAGGCTCACAGAGATTATGTGACCTGGGCAAGGTCTGTGCTAGGAAGTGGTGAAACTGAAATGGTGCCACATCTGTTCGGCTCCTAGTCCTGATGCTTAGACGATGGTGGGCACTCAAAAAAGGGGCTTACAGGAGACTTTTGACAATATTGTTTGATTATAAGAAGGAAATATTTTCAACACAGAAAATACGGAGAACATTGAACAAGCATAAAGAAGAATACAGGCATCTCCCATCACTCCACCTCTCAGAGATAGTACTGTTAACATTCAAGTATTATTTCTACCTTTTCTCTGGGCAAGAAGAAAAAAATTTGTGTATACACACACTTTTATTTGTACAAAATAGAAATCAAATGTTAAATACAGGTTTGTATTCTGCCTTATAAGAAAGCTGTTTCTCTGGTCATGAAATATTTCTCAGAGACATCATTTTAATGGCTACCCAGTTTCCATTGTAAACCCGCACTAAAACTTATTTCAAAGTCAGTCCTCTTCTGATGGACATTTGGATTTTTAAAAAATCTTTTAATATGCAAAATGATGCTGAATAGCTTGAAATGATGCTTGAATAGCTGGTAAATATATCCTTGTGTACTTATTAGACACAGCTATAGGATAGATTTCTTGAAGTGGAACTACTGGGTAAATGAGTATGAACATTACATTCGGTAAGATTTGCCGAAGTGCCACGTACCCACAGAATGGGTGCACCAATTTGTGTTCTCAGGATATGAGGGTGTCTCTTTCTCCAAACCTTACCAATAGTGGTTTTTGAAAAGTCTTTGCCAGTCAAAAAAAAATATGTAATTTTAATTAGCATTTGGAGTTTATTAGTTTGAACTGTCTACATTTATTGGCAATTTATATCCTTCTTTATAAATTGCTCCTATCCTTTGCCCATTTTTGTCCTGAGTGTTCATCTATCTTTTCTTACTGATATATGAGAACTTTTTATATATTTTGAATATCATATTATATGTCAAATGTGGCAACTATTTTTCCCATTTGATTCTCCTTTTCATTTTGCCTATGTATTGCAGGCTGTTACTTTTTATGAAGCTAAATTCTGTCCTCCATTTTAAAGTTTCTTCCATTACTTTAATGTTTAATAAGTCCTTCCCTATGGTAAGATTTGATAAACATTTATCCATCTTTTTTCCTCAAGGTGCTTTCTGGAAGTAATTCATTCTTATTGTCCCCTCACCCCTACCCAAACTCACCTTACTTTTCTAGTACACCAGAATGCTGCCACCCCCATCTGACCTCCAGCCTCCTCCCTGTCCCAGCTTCAAGCTCACCTGCAGGAAGAGGGAGGTCCTCTTGGTCGGGTCCCAGTAAAACTCCACCGTGTTGAGTTGTGAGGGCAGCACTTGGGGTTCCATCACTCCTACAGACAGTGGCACATCTGCAGGCACAGGGTGGCAGGCAGGGAGCGAGTCTCAGCCCTCCTCATCCACAAGGGCTTCTAAGACAGAAAGTAGCCCTAAAGGGTCCCCAGTCCCTCCCCGTTCACCTATGTCCAGGATGCGGTCCCCGGGCCGGCTCCACCTCCACCCATCCAGCTGCTGCTGTTCCGTGTACTGCAGGCGCCGGTCGTGGAACACCACACGCACCACACTCTGCGGGCGCAGGAGGGCGCGGCTCACAGGTCAGAGGGCACCTGGACATTTGGGAACCAGGTCCCACCTGCCCCAGGGCCAACCATTCTGCCCTGTCCCCCACCTTTCTTCCCACCCCCAGGGGTATAAAGACTTAGAATCACTGGATCTGTGTCCAGATGCCCACCTGCCACTCACAAGCTTGAAACTGAGGAATTAACCCAGAGAAACAGCCTCAGTTTCATCATCTGTAAAATGGAGAAGTTAATCCCTTCCCATTCTAGTCACTCTACCTGGTTCTCTTCGCAGTACTTATCAGTTTGTGATTTGTAAATCAATTTGCAATTGCATATAATTTGTATAATTACATGTTTGTCTCACTCAGTAAAATGCAAGCCCCCTGAGGAAGGAAACCACATCTGTCTCTTTGCCCCTGAATCTCTAGCTCATAGAACAATTTCTGGCCAAGAATGAGAGCTAAACACTTTTTTTGAGACAGAGAGAGAGAGAAGGAATCATGCATGTGAATAATGCTATGTACATGTATTTCTGGTTCTGCTACTTACTGACTCTGTGTTCTTGAGAAAATACTCAACCCCTCTGTGCCTGTTTCCTCAACAATTCCTGCCCACCACTGAGCTGTTGTGAAGATCAAATTAAAAGGTGCACTTGAGAGGATTCTGCTTGACAGTGACACCACAGTGATGACCCTGGCTTCCTGCCCAGATGGACAATCATACCCAGCCTTTGCCGGTTCTGGGAGGGGATGCACCTACCTTTAGCAGCCGGGTGGCATAGCCCAGCTTGGTGTTGCAGAGCATTCGTACCTCATAGGACTGGCCTGGGAGAGATAAAGGGGATGTGTGGAGCCCCATTCTGAGAAGCAGAGGTAGTGCTTGTCACCCCTAGCCCACCCTGGGCCCAGCCTCCCGAACTTGCTGCCCCACTAGCCCCTTCTTTTCCCCAGGTCCAGCATACCCTGGTTCAAATAGGTTAAGGTCTCCTCCTGCTGCTTCACAGCCGGCGAGGTGGCTGCACAGAGCACATACTGGAACGCAGGGCAGGGTGGTTCTGCGCTGGGGATGCTGGGCAGCTCTTCCTGCTTCAGGTAGGGCAAGGGCAAGGGCTCCCTGCCAGGGAAAGGAGGGCACTGCTGGCTTTCTGCCCTGTCCACCCCATCCCCTGAGAAGCTTTGACTCTTTCTGCCAGATCCTCCCTCTACCAGGGAGTCCACAGTTTGCCACTGCAGGCACCGCAGGGGCCTAAGAGGTGGGTCCACATCTAGCTCCTCTGGCCTCCAGGAGCTCTTCCTTAAAAGGTGCAAATCCCAGGTACTAGTAGACACTTGCAAATATCTGCCATCAATTACTTGTTTTGCAACTTCAGGTCTTGCCTGACACCCAGTAATTGCCTGACCCAAGTGTCCTGAGTGGGTGGATGGTCGGGGTGTTTTGAGATGTCCCAGGACCCACTAAACCCCAAGTACATTTGATCACCCCTTAAAGGAACCCAGGAGCAGGAAGCCCATAACCCTTGGCTTGAAACAGATGAGCCTACCATGTCCATCACAACTCAGACGAGGGGCTTTCTCGGGGACTGGGGGAAGGGGATCTGACCCTTACCTGAGCAAGCTGCTTGGCGGCCCCGGGTACAGTTCCCCAGGGCTGGGCCACAGGTGCTCTTGTTGGTTGTGCCAAAACAGCATCTTGGAAAGGGAGCAGGACCAGCTGCTTCGCATGCAGAGAGCTCAGCACTGGGTTGGGCTGGACCCACTGCATCCACCTGGGGCTGCAGGGTTTATACACAAAAATATACCCACAAAAGGGTGGGGGAAAGCCCTCGGCCTCTTATTGGCTGAGCAGCCAGGGCTCTAGGAAACTCAGGACCTATCAGGAGGCCCAATTTGGGGGGAATCAAGATCGGATGTCCCCAGGGCTCCCACCAATCATTAACTCTAAGGGGACATGGTGGTGCAGCAAAACAAAGTCACAGGGATGGACATCCACGTCCCCCTCCATTACCCAACAGGCCCAGGAACAATGAGGGGGCACCTTCAGACTAAATGATGGGCCCCAGAACCATGAGCAATGTAAAGTCCCAGAGACCACAGGCTGGACCCCTCACATGACTGCATGGCAGGAGCCTGACCACTCCAGGGGACAGGACAAGCTGCATCACATGGACCTACAAAGGGGCTTTGCTCCCCCTGGCCTCTCCCCTCCCCTCTAACCCTCCCCGCCACATACACACAGGTGCAGTGATGGCCAGACATCTGTCCTGTCACTGGGGGCTACCTGGCTAGGGGATTGAAGTTTACAGAACATAGTCCATCTTGCTGTGGAAACAACTCGGAGAGTGGGGGAGAGTGCCTGTGAGGACAAGGGTGTGTGTGCCTGGGAGTGCCGCCTCCCAGGGAGGTGGAAGGAGAGGAACTCTAGCTGGGCTGCTTTCATGGCCCCCTCCTCTGCCCTGGGGCCTGGAGTGGACTGTGTTTATGGACAAATACAGCCTGCCTGGGGGATGGCTTCCTCCGCCAGGCTCAGCCCCTGTTGTCACTGTACACAGTCAGCCCCAGCTCCCTGCACACCCCCCCCCAACTATTGTGTTTGGTATAAACAGATACCAAACTGTGCTCTAAAGATGTGGCCTGGCCTCATGTGACCCTACCTATCCAGGCTTTGTGATTCTGGGGGGGCCTCCCTGGGGGGAAGAGGGAAAACCAGAGTATGTCCTAAACACACACACACACACACACACACACACACACACACACACACAGTGGCGAGGGCACCGT